GTGTTCCTTTGCCAGCAGATGATTCTGTTTTTCCTGAAAGCACCCGAAAAGGAAAGAGATTTTCCAGCGACCGAGGCAAACGTGGCATGAACATCATGAACAGCTTTATGAATGTCCCTTGGATGCAAGCTTTTCTCGAAACACATCGTGCGAGTGACCGCGACCCGTCCGCTTTTCTCCAGCAAGAGGCCAGGGGTGAACATGTTCTTTTTGGGTGCCTTCTTGTTGGACGTGCGTTCGTTGGGTAGTCAGACATAGCTATAGGCTATAGTCGTACGAAGCATCGCGACATCCCCTTCGTCCTTCAAGGGGTCACTGTCTCGAAGCCCCAACAAAGGCATGCCATAGGTCAGAGCAAGGAAGCTATGTTCGGGGCTCCTGGCATCGCTACTGGGAACAAGTGCCTTACTAGTAGTAACAAGAAGCTACTAGGAGCAAAGGGCATCGCTACTAGGAGCAAGGACGCTATTAGGGGCTCCTGGCATCGCTACTGGGAACAAGAAGCTACTAGTAACGACTATACTGTCAGACAAGGTCAGTCGCCAGCGATGAAGCGGGGCGCCGGGTGATTCAGCAGGTGGTTCAGCTGGTCAGTGGGACTGAACACATCAGTTTTTTGTTATGTTTGTTAACGTATATGCGGTTGCACGATCTGGTCGGTCTTATCACCTTATACATACTTGTGCACCGCGGTGCGCTCCAACGCGAAAGTGCACCAAAAAATGGAACTGCCAAGGGCAAATCGCCTTGGTCAAGGTATCATCTGAATGATGCAACACACGAGAGGGCCCCTTGGTTTGATGTCTTTGGAGTCACGACCATGACATGTGGAGGTGTTACGCCTCCTAGAAGCTGTTACCCTTGCAGAGCTAATGCACTGGATTCTGGATCTGGGAACTTCTCTTCCTGCGCCACCACACTCGTTTGCCGCCTAAAGACCAGTGTTTGCAGCTGCAGTTTGCGGCACCTTTTGAACCACCATGGCAGAAGTGTGGTGAAGCAGGACAGCAAGAACATTGATATCGTAGACTAGTGACTAGAACTTCATTTTGTTGCCATGGAATAACGGATGAACACCCTGCAGATGTTTGTGTTGCTTGGACACCACCATCTCTGTGGGCGTCGCCTTCCATCTGGCTCACCCGGAGTCTCCGCCCTGAGGATATCTTCGATCGGATCGCGACAGAGGCAGCCGCTGCGAAAACCGCGGCCACTCCCACTAGATCAACTAGCAATGAAATCCAGAAAAAGACCATGGGAGAACAAGACCTGCTAGCTTGGATCCCATTTGCCGGAGTTTCTCGACCCAAACTTGGGATCCCAATTTTTCACAAATCCAAATCGACACTGACACCTTCCCCGTTTGGCTGTTCCAACAAAATAGACGAACACCAGTGACTGTGGAGTCTCACTGGGCTCGGGACCGGACTGCTACATGAGTCATTGTTCCAGGGATGATCAGCCATTACTAGGGGGGATGGTCATCCATGGGTTTACTGGTGGATTTATCATGACCATTCTAAGGGATGGGATGACCATGGTATACCAAATATACTGACCCCAAAGCCCTCGGGGGCCCTGAGGATCCGATTTTCAGCGAAGAGCTTGCCTCCGGGCCCTGTGGGTTTTTCTAGCCTAAAAGTGGTCCATGGTTTGGTCATGGTTCGGGTTCCAAAGGCCATTGGGGTGGGTTTTTTTGTGTCTCTTTTACTGAAAAGATCTGCAGCTTGTTCAGGGGTAAAATGTGTTTTTCCATCAATCCATTTCATGTTCACCTGGGAGAATACTGCAGCATGCCCGATTCTATGCATGGTCATGGTGTAGCATGGTCATGGTGACGTCCGGACGTCTCCACCATTTGTGTGACCATGTTCTTTGATTCATTGTGCCCTCAACTACAAGCTTTAGTTCTCTGAACTTTCACATAGACCTGACCCCCAAAAAAACGATGGGTTCTTGCAATGATGTTCTCCCAAAGACTTTGGGGGAGGGGCAGTACTCTCCACCTCCAACCCCCCCCAGCGATGCCGCTTCGCTGATCTCGTCGCAGTCCACGAAGCTCCTGCGGATGATGTCCCGGCGGACCTTGTCCGGGCGTGAGGTGCAAACCTCGGTGAGGCGGGTGGTGAGACGGGCTGGGCGTCTGCGGCGCACGGAAGAGGAGGAGGGTGGGCGGTTGAAGGAGGGGAGGATGGCAGACGATCTGGTTTTCATGTGGGGCTTGAAGAGGGTGAAGGTTGTGGGAGTACTCTCCGAGTCATGGCTGCATGCAGGTAGTAAAACATTTGTAACCTGGTATATTGTAAACTGTAATAGAATTTGGGTAGAGACAACATAGGAGTCTTCTTGTTTTAGAGACCATCACCTGTTTGTAGAGACAACTAAGGGGTCTTCCAGCCGGACACCTTTTCCGCGGATGGCTCCTTCACTCGGATCACGCCGCCGAATGGCGCCGTGCCGAGACGCACCGGGAGAGCGGCGTCCGTCCATTTCGTCCGTTTCGGGAGGCTCTTGCTGCCCGGAGAGCTGGCCAAGCATGCGGTCTCCGAAGGCACCAAGGCACCAAAGTGTCTGAGGGCTCGGCATACTCCGAAAACGGCTCGCGGCGCTGTGGAAAGCGGTGTTTGGGGTGGCAGAATCCGATACAGCTCTGACCATGCATGACCCCAAAACAACCTACACTGCATCTTTCAAGATACTGGGGTACTGTAGGAGGTTGCTGAAGACCTGAATCTTGACATGCCAGGTTCTTTGCTCATGGTTTTCTTTGCTTTTGTCCCGAACCTCGGCCTTCTCCGAGTGCTTCTTAGCAAATTTTTAGCTGGTGATCTAGTCATCCAGAAAACTGAGCCCCTGGCTAAACTGATCCATGTGACACGCCCTTCCACGCTTGGCTTAGCCATTCCAAGTATAAACGATGCCCGGTGCCTGGGAGTTTACTTCAAAGGATAAATAGCTTCCCTGGAAGCCCAAAACAACCAGAAGCAAATGGATGTTTCCGCAGTCCCAACCACTCGTTACGTCGAGGATCAATTGCCACATTGGAACACATGAATACTGAATACAACCATTTGTTTCTGGTTGTTTAGGTTTCCAGGTTATTGTCAGCTATTCGAAGCTTGAACCTGTCTTTTTCCTTTTATCTGCTGTCTCCAAGAAAAGACTGTCAACAGTCTTTTCCAGCAGACTCCTGGGCGGACTACCATGCTTGATCAAGGGACTGAGCTGTATCCCACGCTTCAACAGGGGGGTGTAATCCTGGAACAGAGAGGTTCGGAATTTCTGTCCAGGTTGGGGCACCTGTTTTTCGGTGACCGCCCCTTTGAACGGCGAAATTCCAATGGCCCATCCACTGAATGGAGAGTTCGGATGGTTTTTTTTCTGGTGGCCTCAGCGGTCTTTTTCCCCCTCCCAAATGAAGGTGCAGCATTTTCGAAGTCATTTCGCCAGTCCGTGAACAAGTTCTTCAACCAAGAAGCTGCAGATGAGAACCCGCCCACTGCTGCGGCATGAATCCGGGCACGTTTGCTGTGCTAATTCAGGCCCTTCCTGGTTGGAAGCTTGTGTTGAACGCCTTTTGGAAGAATCGTTCCATGATGCATTCGCTCGTTGCTTGATACAAAGATGTTTGGGGCACAGTCGGATCTGCTACCTAAGAATGATTTGCTGCGGCATGTTGTTGGTTGGTCATGGTTGGTCACAGTCTCTGAGAACTCTTGCCCAATACTCGGACTCGATGCTGTGGACATTCTGATTCTTTCAGATGCTGCTCTACGATGACCTGGGCACACCGCCCACATGGCGTCCGCACTCGTGGATCAAAAAAATTCTTTCAGATGCTGCGGCTTGTGTGTCGGGCTCGTGATGAAGTGCCCAAAGCCACTGAGGAAACCTGCAGACACAGACTTTACAGAGTTTGCACATGGTAGAGTAGGGCATCCATCCCAATGGATGGTTACCGCCTATTACCAAATTAACCACCAAGTCATACCAAGTCCCAAACCTGTTTCGATCCCTGACAATATCCACTTTTCATCAGGGCAAAATTGTGGGTTCATATTTTGGGTAGTACCAAAGAAAATCAAAGGCATTGTGGCCAAGAAAGCAATCCAACCCCCAAAGGTGGCGAAGCTAAGTAGCTCGACACGCTCACCTGTGCCGGGTGTCTTTTCAGCAACCTGGCACTGCGAGGTCTCAGCTCGCGTGCTTAAAGACGTCGGTTCAAAGACGGCGAGATTGGAGAGGAGCATGGCACCGCTTTTCCAGCGCGGAATGAGAGGTGAAAAGAACACACAGGAGGGACCCATGGAAACTGTAGCACTGGCAGGGCTGTGTTTGATCTGTGAGAATGTTATGGCTTTTCAAAGATGGGAAGGTTCTTTCACAAAGAAAGTCCAGCTCCTCGCCAATACATGGACGCCGTCTGTACCATAGCGCGAGGTCTGATTCGGTCTTTTTGTGTCTAAAACTCCCTGCTGTGGGGTGCAACGGTAGGGAGACGTGAAAGACGAGAACTGACGCAAGAGACGTTTCAAAAAGCCCTGCTAGCTGCTGACGGGAGATAGGGGAGCGACTGAGAGTCGCGGGGAGTATCCATATTCCCCTTTAAACAGCCAGCTGCTTGGAGTTATATACAGAGTTCCCTCTCAACACTTGCTAGTTGAGGATTGCAAAATATCTATGGTTGGTCCGCCCCTTCCTGGTTGGTTCAGAATGGAAAGAGGAAGGGGGGCCCACCCTCACCAGTTAGCCAGAGACGACAAAGTCCATCACTGGTTTAGCTCGGGTTCTGGGCTGCCAATGTGGTTCTGAACGTTTGTTCGAGGATTTGTTGAGGTAAAGTGGAAGCGGAGTTGAACACACAAGATTTGAACACATGCAGTTGTTTGGCCCACAATTCATCCGGTCGTTGCTGGTCAAGAGCAAGTAACCCAGACAGTTCATCGTCGATGTAGAAGCAAAGAAGCCACCCTGACACCAGCCTTCAAAGCTTCTGAGAGGTGTTTGGGAGCTTCCAGTGAGTGATGTCAAGAAGCATCCTGCTCTGCGCGCTGCAGAGGCAGGACTCGCGAAAACACGCCCTTCGAAGGGGTGGGTCGATGGTTGCTCACAGGGCTCGGCAGCCTTCGTCTGTGGAACTCCGAATATTCTCCCAAGCCTGACACTCAAAGTTGCATTTTTCTCGCAGGCATCAATAGCATTTGTTTGAACTGGCTCTGTGAAACGGGGCGAAACGTTGGAACTCGAAGTCAGGTACTGACAAAAACACGTCCCCTTTTTGCAGCTCGTGAACCCTTCAAGCTAGAAAGCTTGAGAGAGCTGTTTCCGTCACATGCCCACGTCCGTCACATGACTATAGTCAGTGGTATGGGGTAGAAACGGTTACGGTTTGGGTCTCGCTTTTGGTCAGTTTTTTCTCCACGAAACCGACGATTCAATGCTTCCTTTGCCTTTCCTTTCGATTTCTGGAAAACCGGGACAGCGACCACCAAATCAGGCATAGTCAGACTGCAGCAACCCTGAGCTTTTCGAGAGCTAAACCACCTGAGATTTGTGCTTTCCCGACCCAGGAACTTCCTTTTTGGTCCTTTTGAGTCCAGCCCTTTTTCCCCAATGGCGCCGCCCATCGTTCGTCGTGTGCTTTCATGGTCCAATTGGCCAGTTTGTGGAGAGGGGCTTGGGCCTCATCGTGGAAGAGGCCTCCCTGCCACACCGACTTGCCCGTGCGCGACGTGCGCGACGTGCGCGAACTGAGTCGGTGAGTTCGCTGGTCCTCGTCCTTCTCGGTTTCGGACGCCGGAGAATGCGACCAGAGAAGAACGTGAGCAATGAGCCAATTTTCTGGCAATTTCCAGCAACAGATGATCAAAGGGGTGGCCATTATCCACTCACTTAGGGGACCTCTGAACAAATAGTAACAAATATTCATTAAGCACACCTTTGTCACTGCTGGTAATAAGACTTTGTAGTCTATATCCAATGAATTCCCATTCTTGAAAGGCTCGAACGAGCATTCGTTGTTAGCATGTGACCTGGGTCCCTCCTTTCCCATCCACTTGGAGTCCCTCCGTCTTCCATTCCTGAATCATCCAGTTTCACCCGTCTTCTCACATAAGAACACGGAGTTTCACCCGAAGCCTCACTTGCCGGCATCATCCCAATTCTAGCTCCCAAATGGACAACATGAATTCTTCCAATGCCCAAAAGACAAAGACAAACAACTTTTGGACGTCCTTGACTTCTGGTCTTGGGGGACCCTCAAACTACAATGTGTTAGTGGTTCAAACACGTTCAATCCTATCACATCGATGAAACGAACCTGTTCATCGCCCGTCGCGAGCGAGGAGCTCCAGCCAGGGGAAGAGCTCCTGCGAGTTCCCGAGGCCCAAAACGAAGCGCTCGTGGAATCCGGGGTTGAGTGGGACAAAAGCGGTGGGAATCCGCCAAAGAGTGTGAGAAAACCTCCAAGCAATGAGAGCGCGTGCCTTGAAGTTTGTGTTTGTAAAAATCGTGGTTCCCCAAATAGATAGAACATGATAGATTCCCACTCTTCCCCACTAAACATCTATTGGAAGATATTGGAAGTATCCGTGCCACTATCTATTTGGGGACCACTACAATCCAAAAAAATCGGACGCATCTGCCGTCCGAGACAACGGAACTTGAGACTTTGACCGTCAATGGGTCGGTCGTCAAGCGAGCTCGGCGACACCCCACCCGTTGGACCGAAACTCGCGGAGCGAACTTGGTTCTCAGGAGATGTTGTTGAACATCTACACGGCCTTGCAATCAGAGGTCGGGAATCGCCTTGGACGCCGTGGTCAATGCCGAGGGAGGATTTTCAGACGTGCAGAGACGAACCGCTCACTTTTGCTTGGCTCAGGGCATGCCTGGGAATTCTAGTGGCCGCAGTCAAAATAGTGAGCCGCTTAGTTGTGGATGGCTTAACTCGACTCGGCCGAGTTTCCAGTCGGGCCGGTTGGGAAGAGCTGCGTTTGATGGACATATCATCTATACCCACTAAGATATACCCACTTGCCACTCCTGACACTGAATATGCCGCACTCAGACTTGCTGCCAATACCACCTGCAAAAAACACAGAACAGTGCTGTGGTGGTACATGACCGATCTCGGGCCTCCACCCCCTTCAACAGAATCCCAGGATGTTGGATGTTTAAGCAGGACAGACTCCAGTCATTTGGATCGGTGGAAGAGAGCTATATAAGAACCCCGACCTGGTTATCTCATTAGAAAAAGAATCGGGTTTCGACCGCAATTAGACGCCCAAAGGGGCCCAAACCCCGCTGCCGCGCGCACCCGCTCGGCTGCGACCCAGCACTTCGGTTCCGCGGCGAAGAAGCTGCTGCAAAGTGGCTTGCACGTGGAGGCGAGGACGCTGGTAGTGTTGACGGCTGGTAGGTTGACGGCTGGTAGGTCAACCAAGGTTTGGATTCCAGTTCGGGACGAAGACATCGGTCGTGTTTGTGGTGGGCCAGGACGGCCAAAGGAAGCAGGGGGGTCGACTCACAGAATGAAAGACTCATATATATGGGGTAGTTGAAACATGTTAACACCAAACTCACTCAAGACTCAAAAGGGACGATGTTGGTCATTTTGGTTTGCGCACGGATGGTTTTGACAGCCCACAATACATATGGACACCTTCGCATTCCACGCCACTGGTTCGCTCCAGTTGAAGGGGGAAAAGACCGTTCTGTTGGATGTTTCTGTGGTTGTCAGTGCTGGAAACACGACGTGGGTGATTCAGGTTCTGCGTGGTTTGGCAGGTCTTGTCCAACATCAGTTGTGGACATCACACCTCAGGGCAGAGCTTTTCTTCTATAGCTCCCTTTCGTTTCTTTTGCTTGAGACAGGGTCCTCAAAAACCTGGTCTTGCTGAATTAAGCTGATTGTTGATTTCCCCTACTACTGGTAGTGTGGTTAAATCATGATCCCCTTAACCTGGGGAATATCTTCGGCAAATCGAGCACCGGGGGCTTTTTCCCGACCAGACTCCCCAACAAACTCCTGTCGGTTCGGACGGAGAGAGAGAGAGAGAGAGCCGCTTCATGTTTTCCGGGCGGAACATCACCAAGCCAGACATGCTTTTCCGGGGCAAGCTTGGGATTTGGCGCATGATTTCTTGGGACGTCGACTGAAAGACATGACCGACGGGCGCCCGTCGCCGTCCGGACGTCGATCCGCGGACTGAGACCGTCACCATGCTCTTCGCATTGACCGAAAAGAGGAGCCATGAAGCGCGCCAAGCGCGACCGGCTGCGGGGTGCATTGGAATGAGTATACTTGGTGTGAAGCTGGTAGAAAGGTCACGACTTAGAGACTCCAAAGAGGACCGGTCCTTTGGAGAAGAGGCGAAGGTGTCGGCATCGGTTCAAGCAGCCGGCATCGAAGGTCTCTTCTCAGATATATATCTTTTCCTTTGTTAAACACATACATGACATCACCTTTCCGGCTCCCATCGGTTCGTTTCGTTGCAGGAGGGGCACCGACTCCAAGTGGAAGGCGAGACGAAGTGCGGGAGTTGATCGTAGTGCGAGAACTGAGCACGATCGTAGTGCTGTCCAGAAGTGTCTTGACGGCTGCAAAAGGTTGAGACAAAGCTTGGCTTATGGAGATGCCCTGTATGGTTTTCAGCCCCAGCCAGAGTGCTTTGGAAGATGAAGATCTAGACCTCTAGTCAAGAGGATGGAAGAAATCCCATACCAGGTATGTAAGTATATTATAAGTCCACAAGAGAACTTCGCAACCTCTTTTAGATCCTTTGTCAGACCCCCTTGTCAGACCGCGCAGATCTTCCACCAGCAGGTCTCCCCAGACCATCTTGGACCTGGAAACCCAGTCCCAGCCAGAAACAAATGGTTGTTCCAATATGGCTTGCTTGAAATCCTTTACGGAAATGGATGGAAATGGGTGGGACTGGGGAAACATCCAGACTTGTTTCTGGTTGGGACTGGCTTTCCCGAATTGAAGCCTTCCGACGTCACCGGCAAGACACGGCAGCTCCAGGAGCTCTTGGCACGCGCGCGCGGGCACCTACACGATGCAGATTCTTCAGCGAATCGCGCGTCTGTCAACTGGGATTTGGGGGAATCGAAGTCGGGTATCTGGCGAACGTACCTGCCGGGCCAGTGTTCGAACCTATAGACCCTGGACGCTTGGATTCATTTGGTGTGAGGTTCCACTGGCCACGCCTCGCCGTCTGCGTGACTGGTCGAGAGGTGTTCTGGACGGTTTTCTCCCGAGCTTCAGCTGCTTCGGTCGACAGATTCGACAGATGGTTCATGGTTCCATCGATCCACCAAAACGTGGGGGCCGACGCGATTTTTTAATTAACATGATGGATTGGGAGTACCATTCAGATTGGCTCGACTCATGGTGCTCCCAATGTCCAAGCTGTTTAGGTTTCACACATTTTAACATGGTTTCATGATCAATGTTCAGATGAGTTTGCACTCACGATTCCGGATTTCTGAGACCACTCTTAGCCTGCATTCTTGGTTGCTTGAGTTCCGTACGCCTCGGCCGAGGTCGGGCGGTGCGGATCAGTATCCCACGTTGTTACTTCCCGTCCCTCGCGGCTTTCGACAAGGCCGGAGCTCACGGAGGATTTGTTGCCTTTGTCTTGGCCCATCGAGGCCGCGTCTTTCGCGGGGAGGTGGGAGGAGTCACGGACGAGCCGGTGAGCGGGCGAGAACGGGACGGATTTCTGGTTGGATGAACATGACAAGGATTCCATCCCATCCCTATGAGGAAGTGCTCTTCTTCCATAGTACCTTGCAGGATTTTGGCCATCCATGTTTGTTTTCGCAACGCGGCACGTGAACATGGTTATAGGCTTATAACGTACTTATAGGTTATAGTTATAGGATCTTGAGAGCTTCCAATTAATTGCTTCAACCTACCACCCGTTCCACTCCTTGCTCCGTACTTCCCGGTGGCAGGCGGTGGAAGCACTCAGCGCGGAGCTGGCTGCTCTTGTGCAGGAGATGTTGCTGTGACCATCCATTTCCAGACAATCCGTCTCCATCTACAGGATGGACGTATTTACCGACCCGTCTTCAACCCGTTCATGGGCCAGTCTTGCCACGTCAACGACAACGCACAGACACGGACAACGCTTGCCTTTGGGTGATTGAATTCACTACCGAGCCAATCCCAGGGAGGAAGACGAGTCACAGCAGGATCACCACACCACCTCCGCGCCGCAGCTGTCCGGTCTGAACCGTTCCAACGACCGACCGGTGGACGGAGCCCAACCGCCATGGGCTGCGGTGCTTCCGTGAACTATCCGGAGAAGGCCTACGAGAAGTTCAAGAACGATGCCGAGGAGTCTCCGGAGCTGCGCGAGGCGATGTTCGTCGTCGGCTTCGCCCACGAAGTCACCGAGTCGAGTGGCCGCCCGACGGGGGCAACGAATCGCTGAAGGGAGAAGACGGAGAGTTTGGACCGGTCAAGGGACGGATTTCTGAGAGGACGGACATTGCATAGAGGGAGATTCACTTCGGCGTCAGGCAAAGTTAGGCAAAGACTGACAGGAGAAATTGATAGAAATTGATGAGGGTCAAAATCACAGGACAACATCACTAGCATTCCTTTAGGACGTGGGCCTTTAAATTTGGAGCAGCCTCTCAAAGCCAATGTGAGCCACATCCTCCTCTGAACATGGTGAACATAGGAAGGAGGTGCCTTTTTACAGCCAAGTAACACAGTAAGACTGTCACATTGATGTCACATGTCTCCAATGTACAGACTCCAAAGACTGCAGGACAAAGAGGCGCTGATCCTGAGGAGCTACTTCCGCGCGATCTCCAATTCTTTTCATGATATGGAGAACAAAGAAAAGGCAATTTGTGTTGACCCCATCATCAATCAGATGCTTGCTTTCAGAAATCAGTGCCGTCTCAGGGCGGGGATTCTTTCGTTGCATGCCGGGTGCCGGCCACGTGGATCTTGTCAAAGAAGTGGGTTGATTGAAGAGCTGTGTGCTTGGATGACAGGTGAGACCGCTAACATTCAACAGCGTACTGTACTATTGCCAAGGCAGAGGGCCTTTCCCCAGCTTTTAAGACGCCCATTGTGGACGTCAAACCTGGTGTTTCTTGCTGCTGCATTTCCGGTGCAGCAGGGATTGTATGGTGGAGAAATCATAGTGCCAGGAGGATAAGAGATGACTTCGGTATCGAAAAGAACATAAAATAACTGAGTGTCAGGCTGAGGTCCCCCTTAATTGGTAGTAATTTTGGTATATAGCTCCATGTTGAAGTATATATGGAAGCTATCGGCTATGATATCGGTTCCAAAGCACATGTTTCACGATGTTTCACAAGTGTTTGTTTTTGAGACTTCCGTGTTCTATCAGGTCTCAATTGAGAGTTTTCCCTGTTGGTCTCACCTGACCGTTGGTAGTTTCTTTTTTTTGGGGATCCCGGTCCATTCTCCCGAGGGCTGGGAAGCACGGGCAGACGCCCCGGAGCGGCCAACACGGAGAGCACAAGGGCATGTCGAGCCTCGAACGACCGGAGGAATGGGGGGGGCACAGGTGGAGTGAAAGGAACCGAAAGGATCAGTTCGGCATAGGGCCGACATGACTGGTGTTTTGTGGTGGTTTTTCATGGTCTCGTCCCATGGATCATGTTGGGGGATCTGTGGCGACCCGAACAAACAGGTCCCACAGATGACCCGAAACGTTGGGGACTTGGAGACCTTCCAGGTTGGGACTGCCTTGTCTTTCACCAATGGGCCGGGATTGAACAGTACCCTGCTGGGACCAGTGGGGCGTCCTTGCGTTGTGTTGGAGTCGGAAAATAAGACACCTGAAGCTCCACATCGTTGACTGATGGTACGTAGGACTTTGAAACATCTTATAACGTCGACGTCGAGCACCAAAAAGACTCTCAGGGTCTTGATGTTCACCCGGACAACCAACAAAGGTTGAAGGATGTTGAAGGACTCTATAGACTGTCTAACAGACTATCCCAGTTGAGTACCCCAGGCTACGGGTCCTATCTACGGTCACTTCAGCTCTCTTGGAACTGTACTCCGAGGACCCTGGAGTACTTGATCGCGGCGGTCTTTGGTGCCAATGTGGGTGGGATCCAACGAGATGAGAATGCCAAAATCTCCATGGAGGTCTGGTGTGAGCTTTGCAAGCAGCTCCAGAAGGCAGATCGGCGGTCCGGCGTTGGCTTTGTTTGCGCGGTGCGCCGTGTCAGGGTGTGGTTGTTTGAGTCTCAGGGTCCGGAACATGACATGTTAAGATGGCGGAACACCTCTTTTTTTACATGTTTAAGATGGGGAGTGGAGTGGTTTGGCCTTTGGCTTTGGAGGGGGTGATTTGGCTGTGGGTAGGTGAGTGGACGATTTCGTTGGACATTTCTTTCTCTGTTACACTGTTTGTTTTTGTGAATTGCTTAAGAAGCTATTAGGAGATATGAGGAGCAAGGGCATCGCTACTAGTAACAAAGGGCATCGCTACTAGTAGCAAGGACGCTACTAGTAGCGATGCCCTTTGTTACTAGTAGCTTCTTGTTCCTAGTAGTAAGGCCAGGAGCCCCTAGTAGCGTCCTCACGCAATCTCAGGCTCCAAACCGGTTGATCCGAGGGTGTCTTGGGGAGAAAGGACTTCCACCTTTCGCGTTTGACGCAAAACGCCTGGACCATTGGGACAGTTTGGGCGACCTTCACTGCGATGCGATGCCCGTGGGCATAGCGTAAAGCACGTTTATCAGCATGCCCTGTTCACCCGACCCTGTCAGTGAAAGACGACACACAAGGTCTGTGGTCGCGAAGACAGAGGTGTTTCAGGACCTGATTGTCCGCTACTGATCCACCATGTTTGCTCTTTCATGCTAACAACCTGGGATTTTCGGTGTGATTGCTACAGTTTAATATGTGTGAACCTCATGAATCCCTGTCCATTGTGTTGTCGTGGAACGTCATCTGCTAGTCCACCCCACATGGCGCCGGGGCGACAGGCCGTGGCCTGTCGCCATGACCTTCCCAAGCCAGGTGCCATCTGAATGCCCCCCAAACAATGGAAGCACGACCCTTGCTGCGAAATGCTCGAGAACCTCAAGTGCCGAACAACCGCGATGGAATTCTCAGTGTGAACGTGTGTTTCAACGGGTGAGTTTCTCTTTTTACGGCTAAAAAGTATTGAGTGGAATGCCCGTCGAGGTCCGGAATGATGTCCCGATGGGTCCCATAAGTATTGAGACTCCGTCACTCCGGTGCACAGACCTCCAATCTGTCCACCTGGCTGAGTCTTTCACAGTAGAGCCGCTCTCTTCGGCTCTGCTGTGAAAGGCTTGGCCCCCTTCTTCCTCAGTCTTCCTCCATGTTTTTTCCCCCTTCGAAAAGGGCCTCTTGACAGGCCCATCTACTGGTCCAGTTTGACTCACTAACAATCACATGGTTACGTGGAGTTCAGACCCTCTTTGTAGAGGACAGATTTCATCTTCCAGGGTCCCATGCCAGCCATGCCATGCCATGCATCGGCGGTATAAACCGCTTCCCACCACAGACCGCAGACGGTCAGGAATGTGAAGACTTCTGGTCTCACGAGGCGATGTGTGGCGCGATGGATTTGGGGCCGATGGGAAGAAACCCCCAGTGCTGTTGGGATGGTCCCAGTGACTCCACAGTGGTCGCTCGCTTGCTGCTGTCATTCAACAAAGGTCGCATCCGACCTCGTCGCATCGGACCTTCTCTTCGCATCCTTCTCTTCAGCTATTTGAGTTTTTTAGGACCTATCCTGGAGCCTATCCTCCCTCTAATCATGGAAGCTGGCCAGGACCCCCTTGTGAAGATGGCCTTGCAGGGACCTAGGTTTCACTTCCATGATGGTTTCAGGGAGTGTATCAATGATGAATCAAGCCGTCTTCATTGGCCAACGGGGCGGGAACTTCCCCTTTCATCAACGTCTTCGCTGTCACAAGGATGAAGCAAAGCTGATTCAAAGAATCACGGAGATGTGCATCAAAGTGGGCCATGAGGATATGAGTTGCCTGGTTTGGTTGATGTCTGTTTTTAAGGAGAATCCATCCCATTTCATCCCCGAGGTCGTCAGAAGCGGTCTGGACACTGGCCAGCCCAGAAGCGGCCATTTTGGACGATCGACACGCCAGGCCAGACTGGCCGCGCTCCTCCGAAGTAGCTTCGATCATGACATCCGAAGTAGCCCCCGCCACCGAAGTCCCTTCCCCACTTTCGATGCGACGGACAGGAGAGAAGGATGGGCCATCCACCATCCCACCCCGAAGGGAAAATAGGGAGGGAGACCGAAGAAAATCCGAATGGAGGAAGTCGGGGTGCCCAGAACTTCCTTTCATTTAGGGACTCAACACCACCCAACTCCGTCCCAACTCCTGATAACATCATGTAACATCCATTTTTCGGAACGGCCCATGGAGAGAATCTCTTGATCGTCCGCGCCGTCCAAGGTTGGTGTAAGAAGGTCCGGCTCTTCTGCCGGCTCAAGGCCGAGCGAGACGCGCGAGACGGCGTCGGAAGAGCCAAGCGTCGCGCTGCGGTTCCGGGGGGGGCGAGGCGTGAAGAGTCCATTGTGTTTTGTTGGGTTCCGGCAGGGAGTTGGAGTGAAGTCTAAATGGAGGATCACTATAGGGAAGCAGAGATAAGCCCCAACTGTTAGTGTCAGAGGTGTCAGAGGTGTCGCCTTTTTCGGTCCGTTTCGGTCGTGGTTTACTTTTGGAGGGCCGCCTAACCGGCGGTCGTTCCGTTGGTTCCGTTGGTTGGACCGTTCGAAGGTTTGTTCCCATGCACCACCGGTCCATCCCTAGAAGTCCAGTTCGACGATATTTTGACCGGCTGGAGTAAAGGAAGTTTCCGAACTCAGTTCCCTTAAAGACCATTCTTTTTATAGTCGACTGGACTCCCACCTTTTTCGGTCATGTGGAACTTCCTTCTTCCCATCGGAACAAATCCTCCACCGAGTTCAACTCCGCTTTCCTCCCTTGACAGTGGC